AGCGTGTCTGGATGATGCAGAAGCTCCAGAAGCTTGTTGGGTGGCATTTGTAACAGGACATCTACTACTACTCCTACGTGCTCTGGGGCCCAGTACCTCACCTCTTTGGCTACTTCTTCCTCTAAGGTTCTCATTGCGAGCTGAGGTGGCAGCGATGCTAGATAAGCCGGGGTCAAGTTCCCACGAGGAGCTCTTCCACTGAGATCCGGATTCTGATTCTCACCCCGTTCTAGAACTGCATTACTTGGAGTTGCCAAGGAAGCTAGACGTTCTCGGAGAACATCGTTCTCTCTTTCCGCCTTCTGTACACGTCCTAACAGACCCTCTAACTGTCGAGCTACTTCGGCTTGAATCGCATCCATCGGCAAGCTTGAGTGCGAAGACGGCGGCCCACCAGCTTCCCAACTGATCCGCTGAGCTCCTCCTTCACCATACAAATGCGGCGCATCTTGCTGATGCTGTCTGAGTTGCGCTTGCGCGGCTGGCGAGAACAGCGGCGTGGCCTGTTGGTCTCGAGTCACGCTGGGTGCAGCCCCATCTTGTACCATAGCTGGCGGCGCCGACACCAAGCTTGCAGAGCGTGTGTCCTCTTCCCTCGACTGAAAGAAAGAGCCCATGCTTTGCAACCATCGCAATCCACGAGGAATCTGTCCCGGTGACGGAGCGGATGGTGGTGACGGTAATGGGGATGCGAAAAGACTTGCCAATGTGCGATGAGACACTGGAGATGCGAACATAACCTCAGCGGGTTCGGTGCTTCCTTGCCCTGCTTGCACATCATGACCGGGAATCACAGCTTGTCCTTCTCCATTTGCAGCGCCTGTTTGGCCTGCAGTCTGAATGACCTGTGTTGCAGTTCCTTCGGTCTGATGCCCGGCAGCGGCCCCAGAACTGACCGATTCCGCCTCTGCTATCACTTGTAAGGGTCCGCCTGGGCCCTGCAGCGTAGTTGATAGAGCAACTCCCTGAGCTGCTAGATGCTGCTCCGCTCTTGCGAGATCCCTTGGGCGAGGCACTTCAGGAGCATCTGCTCCGATGCCTGTCACATTCGATGATGTTGCTGACGTAGCTGTTGTTGATGTATCTTCTGAGCTTGCACCCGCGGTAGCGGATTGGGCGCTCATAACCTGCGGAATACACCTGACTTCGAA